GGTCGCATTTTGGTTTGGCGACATGAGGGTCGCGTTCTTTAGAGTCGACGCGAAGGTCGTGTTTTGACTTGGAGACGCGAAGTTGAAGTTCGCGTTCAACGAAGGCTTGAGGTTCGCGTTTTGGCTGTAAAACGCGCCATTGAGGGCCGCGTTCAGTCTGGTTCTCGCGAAGCTCATGTTTGGGCTCATAAACGCGAAGTTCAGGGTCGCGTTTAGGCTCACGAACGCGAAGTTCGCGTTGGTTGGAGGATTGACTTTTTCGGAGTTGTGCTCGTCGCTGAGACCTTCTTCTTCGACGAGCAGCGTTCCTCTTGGCCTGTTTTAAGGCTTTTACAGGAGCATCATCGGCGTTGATTGGATCCATCTCCATCGTAGGCCTTTTACCACCCATAACACATCGTATTGACGCGGATGTGGGACATTCAACTCGCTGGGCGAGTTCGGCTGAGGCTAAGCTCGCTCCTGAAGCAGAGGGGCTGTTCGACAAATTGTGGCCAAAAGAGAGGACTTTCTTTGGCATTCCAGCAACAGTTGGAGATTTATTCTCTTGGGAGACTTTGTGGATCTTGCGCATAGCCTTGGGGCTAAGGGATCCGGATGAGAGAGCCTCCTCAAACTTGGCTTGATCAAACTCAACCATGAGAGTTTCGACGGTTGTTCCAGTGAGATGAACATCGAATTGCGCCACCACTTCTTCGTCACAGAAGCTTGTCCCCAGCGGAGTCGCCATCTTTTGTTTGTGGGAAATTTTGTAATAAAAAGAATATAAGGAAAGAATTGCGTTTGATTTTATTCTCTCTAACTGCTTAGAAAAAGAATGATTACAACTCTCTCAACTCTCGATTACAATTTGGATTCCTAGTTACAAAAGAGAAGAGAATGATCTGGATTCTCCCCTTTGTTTAATTCTGGGTTCTTCACGGTAGCGATGAGATGCCTCCCTCGAATGCTTGCGTCGAGTTTGCTTCTCGTTGACGATCCGAATATCTATACTCACTGGAACAACTGTCTTGGCCGGTTGATAACTCTTGTCGAGTTTTGTGATTCAGAACAAGTAACAAACTCTAATGATAGAGTTGTTGGAACCGAAAATAATTCGGTTGATAAGCCAAATATCGATGGTTTAGAGATCCTCCGTTTGTTGATTTCCCAGACTGTGTAAGGAGTCAATCCTCCTTTTTCTGATTCTGGAAGATTTGATCGAAAGATCCTCCTCCGATTAATGAAAAGAAATCTCTCTTGATCTGATTATCAAAAATTCGATCCCTCCAATCCTCTCTTGATCTGATTATCAAAAATCCGATCTCCCCCAATCCAAAAAGGAGATCCCTTACTCTGTTGAGTTTGTTGCTATTTATAGGGGGATTAGGGGTGTAACTGCCCCCATAATCCGCGCCTAAATGGGGGTTTAGTTACCCCATTAGTCGGGTGTAACAACCCACTAAAGCCACTCCTCAAATCGTGGGTGAAGAACAGCTTCGAAGTTGTTACGATCACGTTTGAATGAGTCAGAACCTTGACCTGCGTTCTGGCGGTGATTGGGCTGCGTTTGGCAGCAGAGCTGCGTTGGCAGCGGTTGATAAGCTGCGTTGGGCAGCGGTTGATAAGCTGCGTTGGGCAGCGGTTGATAAGCTGCGTTGGGCAGCGATGGAGCTGCGTTCGAGCTGTGCTTGGCAGCGATTGGAGCTGCGTTCCGTTCGAGCTGTGCAGCGATTGGAGCTGCGTTCGAGCTGTTGATTGTCGTAGTATTTAGATTTCTCTGTCTTTATATATGGATGACACCAAAGACTGGTAAAGAAGGTCTTATTCAAGCCACTTGTGACAATTGAGGCATCTCAATAGCGCTCTGTCAACTGCAGGTCATGATCTCCACTGAGTGTGTCGAATATCATTACACTGCTCATCAGCACCTCTAATGGTTGCCAATATAATATTAGTCATGTTGTTGTCGCAGCCATCAAGATCAATCATCTCACATAAGAAGCTGCATTCGTGTTTATAGCGGCGTAGGTGATTGAATCGGTGTAGTGTCTTGATGATGGTACGCGGGGAGGACTTCCACGTCTTGGTTTGAAGAGATCGTCGATTTGTAATCCTTTCTGTCAGAGTATTGCTAAAGACTGTCGTTTTGTAATCTTTGCTTTAACTCTTTGACATGTGAAAATCTTCGAATTGTAGCCTTCTGGAAGTCGTCAGATTGTAACTTCCATCATCAGTGTTCGATGATTTTTAGACAGCCTACAACAACGCCTTTCGTGTCTCGTTCGTTCTACAGATAATCCAACCATCGGGGCTGATAGAACTCTTCGTCAGAATTCCAACGCAATTCGAATCACTAAAATCCGAGTTCGGACGAAGAATTTACAGCAGGGTGTCCTAGATTTTGGGGACGCCCCAGGGGTGTTCTAGATTTTTGGGGACGTCCCAGGGGTGTCCTAGATTTTTAGGGATGCCCCAGGGATGTCCTTGATTTTTGGGGACACCCCAGGGGCGTCCTAGATTTTTGGGGACGCCCAAGGGGCGTCCTAGATTTTTGGGGACACCCCAGGGGCGTCCTAGATTTTTGGGGACACCCCAGGGGTGTCGCCTATAAATAGAAGCCTTAGGCCTCACTTTTGGGGCTGGATTTTTGGGGAATTGGCGAAGCCCTGCTGGAGTGAAGAGTGATCGAGCACTTCAACACAAGAGAGTTCTTCATCAGATCTACATCACCCGCATCCGTTCCTTAGCATTACCCATCGAGCCTAGAATCGAACATATCTGACATCTATGCGATTTAGGCTCGTGCCAGAGAACCGAGCGTGCGAGCTCTTCTCGCAGGCGAATTTCTTGTAAGCCTATAGAGGTATTTTTTTTACCGTCTACAGACCCACGCAAGCAAGAGATGATAAACGGATCTTGTGTTTATTTTCAAGAAAGTTGTAATTTTTATTTTCGTTATTTGAATTCATTTGTAACGTTTGAAGTTTTAATGAAATCAATGATGAAGGCAACTTTTGACGAAAACAATCTTCACTTTTTGGTTTATGAAATAAATTCTTCAACTAAAAAAAAGGCAAGTCAGGTACCTGATCATGAACCAATTTTATTAATCATTTTGGAAAGTGTATAGCAAGCCCAATTTAATTTATCATATTTACATCTCCAATCATTCAGATATAGATGTAATCACATTTTAATGAAATAAATCCACCACAATATCACTGTAATAAAAGCATATAAGCTCCTAGCCACATGTTTAAATTTTTTGGAAGATAAAGATGCACAAAAAATATATAACAGGTGAACAAACGAGTGGGTGCAGGTGTTTGTCTATATGCTCATCTGTGTTTGTGCATTACTATATGAAGAAATGTGCATGAGCGCGTAACGCTTAGACGTATTCATGATTTTTGAAAAATAAACCACATTCCAATTTTAATGTATATATCTGAAAACACGTCACACACAATGTAGCAAAGATCTGTTGCACAAATATTCATATTTCAAATGGACAAATCAAACTTATGTTATATTGTCATCACCTGTTTCTATGTACGTGTCAGGCCCTTCAAAAACTTGATTCTAGAATGACAAAGGTGCAACACTTTCACAGCGCCCGTACTTCACAGGTAATACAAATCTATCAATTTATGAAAATTATAAAGTTATTGTTGCTGACTACATGATAAAACAAGTTCTGTCAATTATAAAAGCTACATGATAAAACCAATTCTTTCAACTATGTATGATTAAACTCATAAGCTACAAAATAGCACCAATTCCTACTAAAATTAGAACTAAACAAGCTCAAATTCATCACCAAAATCTATGAGGACTTACTAGGGCTCAGGATAAAAATAGATTGGTCATAAAAGATTGCCTCTCCTATAAAACTATGATGCAATGTAGGCTGCTATTATGAGGGATTACATCACCCAAACATTGTAATATCAATGTAGGTTGCAATCCACACAGAATTGCCTCGCCTAAACATTACATAATTAATTAAAATAGGATGCATTCTCAGTTTGTTATCATCATCACTGCCCATCTAAAAAAACATATAGCAAAAGAACACATACCAGAATTGAGTACCAAAGAAAGCCATCTGTCATTAAGTTCAAACTGACCATTATATACCACAATAAGCCAACAGCCAATACCTCAATGTAAGCACAAAAAGCCAACAATAAAAATTAGCAACAAGAATCAATAAAGCCTTTTATTTTGTAGTTATAACTGATATTTTCATTTCCTCAAAACATCAAAAAAATTAAGAATGTACATCCAAACTATTCATGCTACCCAATCACGCTAAATGGTGGATGCACTAGAACAAATAAACTTAATGATAATAGAATAAGTTTTTTTTATCATTTTAATTCATCATTGTATACTAAAATGCATATGTATTGGTTTCTTGACAGCGGTATATACAAAGTAATTAAAATTAACTATGTCCCAAGATTATGACAATGAAACAACACAAAGTAATTAAAATACACTAATTAAAAACTTACCAGCGTTGATCACTTAAAGGTGATTTTATACTCAAAATATATTCAACCTGATCAAGCTTTCATTTTAACTTATGCATGCAATTCTTTCATTCAACCTGATCAAGCTTTCATTTTAACTTATGCATGCAATTCTTTCCTTGCGATAATTTTCTTGCAAAGTTCGCATCTCTTATAGCCATTTGTGCAGCAGTTAAGAAGAAAGATCTATACTGCCTCAATTTTACACAAGCAGTTCCTTGCCTTTAGTATTAAGAAAAAGCCACAAAAGAGAGTTAGTTAAAACTTCAAATTGGACTAACAACACTCATCTTAAACAAGCGCCACAAAAGAGAGTTAGTTAAAACTTCAAATTGGACTAACAACACTCATCTTAAACAAGCAATTTAAATGAGCAACTTATAGGCAATATATATATCCCCAATTTTATTTACAGATTTCAATAAATTACTGCATCCACAGGCAATAGGATTTTAAGAGGGAAAACATCAACTTATAATATTAAACTCATAAACTTAATGAGAAAATAGAGTGCTTAAAACATAATTTTTGTGAAACATAACATTTGAATTAATAAATTATGAACCATCTATACTACTGATAATAAATTTTTCATCATACATGTAGGAATATTCACAGTGAGAACAACTTATGAAGGCTTCGGAAGAAACAATTTATGATGTTGTATATTTCGAAGCTCTACGAACTTCACAGGTAATACAAATCTATCAATTTATGAAAATTATAAAGTTATTGTTGCTGACTACATGATAAAACAAGTTCTGTCAATTATAAAAGCTACATGATAAAAACCTAAGCATAAGTCAGTTAAATAGACAGAAAATACTCAATTCTTCCCATTTTAATTGCTGTTACAGCAGAAAACTTAACAAATATCAAGCCAATTTTAATTGACCAGATAACTATATCTCATTTCATTTATTCACATCTTACTGCACTAACCAATTCCTTTTTTTGTAAACCAGTATCTAATAGAAAACAACAACTTTTCCATGTTAAAAACTGAAAACGCTGACCTATTCACAAAAATGAAACAAATTTCATTCATTCATATTCATTCATATAAATTAGGAAACACATAAAAAGCGAGATGAAGAAATAGCTAAAATTTCACAATGAAACTAAACCAGATTTCTAGGAGATGAGATAGATCAACCAAATTATAAAGATATCGTTGTTGACTACATAATAAAACCAACTCTTTCAATTATAAAAGCTACATGATAAAACCAGCTCTTTCAACTTCATGAGAAAATATAGAGTGCTTAAAACTTAATTTTATTTATGAGATTAATTCATTTAACTATATGTGTCGTAATTTATTCCCATGTAGACTATTCCATTTAACTATATTATGTGGGAATTACCATTTGCATTAGAGTATGTATATAGCTTATTAGGATATCTAAAAATTGAGAACAATTCTAAAATAATCTGATACAATGTCAAGACTGTAAATATAAGTCAATATGAGTATTTTCACTCTAAGATATGTCTTTCAAAAATTAACTATGTCCCAAGATTATAACACAGAAACAACACAAATTAAAATACACTAATTAAAAACTTACTTGCGTTGATCACTTAAGGGTAATTTTTTCCTCAAAATAAATTTCAACCTGTTCAAGCTTTCATTTTAACTCATGCATGCAATTCTTTCCTTGCGATAATTTTCTTGCAAACTTCACAACTCTTATAGCCATTTGAGCAGCAGTTAAGAAGGAAAATCTCTACTGCCTAGACTTTACTCAAGCAGTCCCCTGCCTTTAGTATGACGAAATAGGCAAAAAAGAGAGTTAGTTAAGACTTCAAATTGGACTTACAATGCTCATCTTAAGCAAGCAATTTAAATGAGCAACTTATAGGTAATTTATATATCCCCAATTTTATTTACAGATTTCATCAATTTGAAGAGAATGTAGAAATATCATGCAAATGAAATGTGTGAAGTTTTCATCATAAGGAAGATGATAAAAAACAAGTAAAAATAAATTACCTGCACAATAAAATAAACAAGCAATTCCTCATAGTGCTCCCTTTCACCAGAATGAGAGCACGTCTCCATAGCATCTTTGTACATTTTGTCCTTTTTTATAAATATCAAGCAATTCCTCAGACTGTTTCCATCTTCCAGCTTTCTTATAAATATATGTAGCAACCCGTCTCATTTCAAGAAGCTCATGCTTTTCAATCTGCTTGCACACAAGAAAAATTTACCATACAAATTTCCTGTTTGTACTTAGCAAGCTGTAGATTCACTATTTTAAAAAAATAGCAAGCTGTAGTTATCATGCAACTCAATGGATTCCCTTAACCTTTCATAATCTTCTTCTTCAACATAGATTTCCCTTAGCCTTACATAATCTTCTTCTTCAACATAGATTTCATTCAAAGCTTCATTCACAGCAGATACATTATTGCTCGTACCACAACCATATATGATTTCACAAGATGCAAGTGACCAGCCTGAAACCAGGAGAAATGGCGAATACAAATGGGTTAGCATGAAAATATTTAACTTGTGATTGTAAATAAATCTACCACAAAAAAAAGAATTTTCAAAAGCACTACAAAACATCATTTGATAATATAACTCTGAATTGAAATAGGATAGGAAACATGCTTCAAATTAGTAACGAATAATTTCACTGAAATATAGATACAAACCCATTTCTAGCATGTAATTTATTCCCATGTAGATTATTTCATTTAGCTATATTTGTGGGAATAAAAAGAATAAAGAGCGACCAAATTTAGGGTTCCGTAATTCGTGAGATGAGATAGATCAACCAAATTTAACGAATCTAGAATGAAATTAAGCATAAATAATACCAAAAATAGGGAAACAATCGATTAACAATATTTCATGGTTTTGATATGAAATTATTCATCAACTAATCAACGAAAGGGAACATCATGCAGAAATTATACCTGTAATTTCCAAAATCTAACAAATCAAGCAAAAACCCGACGATTTCCACTAAGAAAGGTAGGGATTTTTGCAAAGCTGACAAAAAATAAAACGAAATTCGAGGGAGGAGTCGACGAAATTCCAGGGAGGAGTCGACAAAATTCGAGGGAGGAGTAGACGACGAGATTCGAGAGAAGTCGACGATGAAATTCAAGGGAGAAGTCGACGACGAAATTCGAGGGACGACGAGCTACGACGCAACAAGATTCGAAGGATGAGCTTTGAGGGAGGAGTGAGCAACCAGCTTCGAGGGAGAACAATGAATACCCGAGCTCTAGAATCCACTTGGAGTCACGGATCTGAAGGAGAGAGAAAGAAGAGAGAGGAGCTCATCTACTTGGAGTTAGATCTGAAAGGGGGGGGGAGAGAGGGAGAGAGAGAGAAGAGAGAGGAACCGATCAGATCTGGAGGAGGTGAGGGGAGAGAGAGAAAGAGAGGAGAGAGCAGGCGATCAGATCTGGCTGGAGGAGGCTGATAGAACGAAGAAGAAAAGTGAAACCCTAGCTCTAGAATCCTCTCTCTTAGCTATTTATATGGATAGCTTTGTAAATAAAATTTTAGATAAGTAATATTTGTAATAAATTAAATTAATAGGACTAAAATGCAAAAACTAATCGAATAGTTAATGGACTTCCGAAACAAACATACCTTTTGTTAAATTCTATTCATTTATAAGCGGAATACTAAAAATTATTTGTTTAGTACTAATTGAACTACCGAACCGAACTTGATCGAATATCTTGACGAATAATAACCGTCATAAGACTATTTATATATGGGGAAGAAGCTGTAAAAAAAATTTTGATGGGTAATATTTGCAACAAGTTTAATTAATAGGATTAACATAAAAAGGTTACCGAATAGTTAATAATCACCCTGATCGAATATAACTTTAATTAAATTCTATTTGTTTGTAAGTTGAATACTGAAAATAATAATTTAGTATTAAATGAACAGTCGGATCAAATATGACCGAATATCTAGACGGATATTAAGCGAATTGTTTATTAAATATTTGGTTTGTTTCCACCCCTAACCATCATATACTGCTTTGAATTATTCCTCAACGCAAGCCTCAAATTAATCTGAATAATCATCAATGTAGACGAATGTATAAGCGCCAGATCACAAAAATTTTGGTAACATATATTTTATATATTTTTAAATTTTAAATTTTAAGAGTATAATAATCAAATCAAATGTATTAAAACTTAGAGAGACGCAAATTTAAAATACAATGATAAAAAAATAAACGGCCGTGCTTTGCACCGGGTCCATACTAGTTTGGGTAAATTGTGAATAAACCTCTGTAGATAAGGACAGTTGGGTATTCATAGACACACTTGACATTTGAGGGTTTTACACAAAGCACCCTCACACCCCGGAAATTTGAGGGTTTTACACATAACCCCTCTCAACTGTTTTATTTTCATAAATCTCCGAATTTTGGTGTCTCGTCAAATCCTCCTTGACCTTTCAACTTTTCGAACTGAACCTCCTATCTATTATTGACAAATAACTAAAATTTACTTTTGAGGAGAAACTCATGGCTGGGTGAGGGTGTCTGCATGCATGTAAATAACTGAATTGGAGTTTATTTTTTCTCTCTAGGACATTTTAGTTATCTTTAGGTTATAGATAGGGATCCAAAAGAAAATTTTAAACTTGAGGACAGGTTTTTGAAAAAGCCATGGAGATTTTGTAAAACAAAAATATCAGAGGGGTAATGTGCATAATCCCCTAAAAATATTGCAAGTGTAATTTATATATTTTACTTACAGTATAAAAGGAGAGAAACAAAAGTTGGCGTGACAATATTATTGTATATTTATTAATCTCCTACACTTTTAATGGATTCTTTTCTTTAATAATTATGAAAAATAAACTAAAAGTACGTTGTAAATGTTAATTCTAAAATTACTCAATTTGATTAAAGGAGAATATTTTTTTTGTGTTATTCTTCAATACCCACATTATTTTAGATGATATAATCACAATATATTTAATGTTATAAATTATTTCAAAATTTTACAATAAATACATAATCTTGTGATAACATAAACAAGAAAAGATGTTGGCTTGGATAATTAATTAGATTCCACTCTATTTCCAAATTTAATGTTGTTTATTAATAGTGGCCCCTAAATTATTCATACCAGGGATTATTAAAAAAAAATAGGCCAAACTTCTCCAAATATCAGATGGCTAGCTGGCATGTTTGAAACAGGTTATAAAAAATAAAAAAGAAAAAAGAAAAAGAAAATATATAGGAAAAAAAACTATGTAGATGTCAAATTTTACGTGTGGATTCCCTTACTTCGTTTGTATCTGCACATAGTTGGCAAAAGCATCATCCAAATTGTTTGATGAATAACTACATATATTATCAAAGATCTACTAGTAAGCACATTTAAACTTGAAAATATATTAAAAGGAAAGTAGCAGTAATAGTCTCTCAAATAAGAAAGAAAATGTATATTTTAAAAATTCAAAAATAGACAACAACTTATGCATAATTTGTGTATATATAACTCGAATTCACTGGAATACAAAGAAAAGTATAAACAACCTTTTTTCTTCTAACTTAGTATCAAAATGTTTTTCAAGCAAACTGGAAGAAGATGAGCTAGTGTTTTGATTTAATATAAAGACTAATAATCGGGTATTAGAGAATGAATATCAAGAACAAAAATTTTTGGAAGAAAAAGAGTTACCCTCACATTGTCAAATATTTTTTTTAATGTTAACAATATTGTATCTACTGTAGATATGGTTAGGAGGTCCCATATGACTCTCATGGTTTTGGTTCGATTCTAGGCCCTTTTATAATAAAAAAAAGGTAACAGACTATATATTTTTAGGTAACTGTACTATAAATTTGATATTGCTTTTGCACTGTAAAAAAATACAAAATAATTACTTTGAAAAAGATCATGTATGAAAATTTAAATCCATTAAGTGGTAAATTCTAGTTTTGTTGGTCTTTTTATGAATATAATAATAAAGAAAAGATGTTTTTAGATATTAGTTCCCTTGATCTTTCATATTTTAAAATTAGCCCCCCCAACTCTTATAAGCGTTGTGAGATTAGCCCCAAAATTTTCAACTTGGTGCTAACAAAGAGGGAATAATTTAATAACACTTATAATATCACTTATAATATTTGGTGGACTGATTTCTAAATATGAAGCTTTGGAGGACTCATTTCAAAATACTTCGGTAGTTGGGAACTAAGGGGTTGTTTGGTTGGGTGGTTTTATAAAATTTTTTATAGAAAATGGCCGATAGTGACAGTTTTGTAAATAAAACTTTTCTGGAGATTTCTATAAACTATGTTTGGTTCAAAAAAATTTACAGAAAAGTTTTCTATAAAGAACAGAAAAATACTCTATTTTATAGAAATCAATTTCCGCTCAAAATGGGCGGAACTCACCTAGAAATCTAACGCGTATATTAAAAAAATAATTAAGTATATCAGTACCCTTCCCATGTGATTTCCCATGGACTTTGTTTGTAAGCTATTTTCTATAAAGTGACATCCAACCAAAAAAAGAAAAAAAAGACGATATATTTTCTATAAAGTTAGAAATTTTTTCAATCTTCGAACGATATAAAGAAATAACAAAAAATAAAAAATATAATACTCTTTTAAGTTCTTTAAATTTTTCCTATAAATTTTATAGAAAAAAAGGAAATCAAATTTTGAGTACCTTTCTTTCCTTTTTTTTTTATTTATAGAAATTGAACCAGACAACCCCGATACGAAAAAATCCCATGACGAAAATGGGTGAGCCAACGACAAGGTCCTTCCGCTGCCCTTCGATTGGTAAATAATCATTTTCCCTCATTAAACTTAGGATGTTTAATGTAAAATTTGTTTGTTTGCTTTTCCACATTCAATTTTTACCATAAATTTCTCATCTGTTACTTTTTTCATTGTAATGATTTGGAGAATGTAGACTTATAACCACGTTTCGTGAGCGATTGATCAGCGCTGTCCACTTGGAAATCAGGGTTTTCAAAGTTGATGGCTGCTCTTTGGTAATATATCGCTCTCTTTTCCCAATTAATTCGTTTGTTCTCATTAATTTTTGCGTTGTTGAAGCAAATGGGCATTTAGATTTATTGGTGAGCTCGGAGAAGCATCAAATTTCTAAATAATCCATACAAAGTTGTTAAATTTCTTAATTGATAACATGATGAACCTCTGAATTTAACTTTTCATTGTGAGGAATTTACAGTCTGAATAATATCAGAAATGTCTTAGCCTCTTAGGCTTTGGCATCAAATCCCTTTTCTTCACAAATAAAAATGAGCCTTATTTCAATCATGTTACAGATAAATAGTACATGCTCTATAGTTACAAACAACCAAAAAAAAAATGAGAGTTTGTCCTCCTTTTTTCAGCTTGTTAAGCCGCAGTTTGTGATGACCACCTTTGAATATGGCCTGTTGAATCCCCTCTCTGCCACAACTGCTCTCTTATCTCCGATCAACTTTGCCACTCTTTTACACAAAAACAAACAAGTTCGAAGAGATTAGGACTCCTGTTGTTGACTACATAACACATAATGATTAGTGAAGGATTAACATGCGAAACCTACTTATGCTTGAGGGAAGAAGTTCTCAAGGGTTCATGCATTTTAACCCTGTCGCATTAGAAGCATAGGTACACAGACCAAGGCGTACGAATAATAGGTAAAAATACAACATTAACAGATGCGCATATGCAGATATGAAGTATTCATTTATAGAAATGCTCCTGATAACATCATCTTTTTGTAATAGGTATAATATGTCTCTTTTGCATGTACCCTCTCCCAGTTTTACTTTTATGTATGCAGATGCATTTACACTTGAAATTTTTAACTACAACATCTATGCATATAATCTTGAATACTAAAAACATGCCATATCAGAGTGTGTTTTATAATTTTCCCCAAAGAGTAATATTTTATAATTTTGCCAAAAGACATATCTACACCAGCTTTCATGTACTTCAAATGGATTAATTGAACAACTCAATTGTCATATTCTTTAAATGAATGAAACTGAACGCACAAGTTCCACACAAGACAATTGTAACGAGAATGTGCTATGTTTTCGTCCATGTTACATGTACGGGATTGATAATCTTTTGGGGGACAAATTTTCAAAACCGACCTATTTTGAATTTTATTCCCAAAAACAGACCCATTTCAAAAACAGACCTAGTTGGCTGAAACTGGGTCGGTTTTTGAAAAAAAAAATTCCCAAACTTCACGGGAGTTGAAGTCACGTGAAGTTTTTTATATATAAAAAACTTCACAGGACTTCAACTCCCGTGAAGTTTGGGAATTTTTTTTTCAAAAACCGACCCAGTTTCAGCCAACTAGGTCTGTTTTTGAAATTAAGTTTGAAACAGGTTTTTTTTTTGAGAATTTTTTGTCAAACAGGTTGGGTTTGAAAATTTGTCCATCTTTTGGGTCTGTTTGCTCAGGGAATTTGACAATGATGCATGTTTTACGTACTTTTATATGTGAAAAATACATACAAGTAAAGATGTTATGTGAATCAATGATTTTGATAATAATGTGTGTCTTGCTGCTGGAAACAAGTCTATAACTAAAGGCTAGGTACTAGAGGAAAATAGGGTGAAATAGCTCATAAATCAACTAGTCATTGTTGGGGTTTTCCTTCTTTCTTGGTTCACCACTTCTGACAATTCGGATTTGGAAGGCACAACATATCAGAAATGCATAAACCGATAGAAATTTGGAGAGCGAGGATGTTGTGAATTAGGTAAGTTGCAACCGTCATTTCAGACATCCATGATTGCAATACATTTCATATCATTGCTTTTAGATCCTTACTTCTGAACCTTAAATGTCCACCGAACTTCTTACTTCATTGGTACAGGATTTCATATTGAGTCTCTATATATTTTTGGGTTAACTGCGAGTTGATCCCCCGTGGTATCATGCAATTGTGAATAAACCCCATGTAGTTTTATTTGTGCGGATAGACTGCCTGAAATATTAGCCCAAGTGCAAATCCACCGCCTTAGTGAACTTTTTCGACTCTTTTATGAGTCAAAATAATTAGCAATTGGAGGTCTATCCTCCTGATGTAAGGGGTCTATCCACATTCTCAAACCTTTTTGACTAATGTAAGAGTTTAAAACATTCACTTAGGTCTATTCGCACAAATAGAACTACAGGGATTCTGTCTGCGACTGGTCGATACTACAGGGGATCTATTTGCATTAACCCAATAATTTTTTCCTCTATTATTTATGCATACAAGGGTAAATGTTTGTTGAGCATGCATCAAAATACGCAACAGAATCCAGTATAAACACATGACAATTATATAAACAGATACAATGCAAGAATGTGCTCGTGTAAGTCTGTCCAAAATCTAACAGTTTCAGTAGTATCAGGATATAAACCAGCCAAGTTTTTCAGAAAAATGAAATCCAGAGCAATCACGTTTACCTGAAGTAAGGAGAGCTTGTATTGTCCTGCACAGTCTTCACCTGAGTAAGCTTCTCCACCACCTCCATCCCTTCAACCACCCTCCCCACCACCAACACGGACTGGTCAAGCTCCGGCGAGTCTTTCGTCACAATGACAAACTCTGTCCCGTTTGGCTCCACCCCAACCTCCTCCTCCTCCACCTCCAATTTCCCTTTCTTCGCCACTATTTTCACTTTTGGCGGCGGCTTCGTAGGATCCCTAACCACAATCCCCACCGCCGCCACATTCTTGACACACTTATCGTCCAAACTTGCCTCCCACTCTGACTTCAAGCTGTCTGCTGCGGTGGTTGTATTCCCAGTCCTCGCGGCAAGCTCTGCATCGACGCCATAGGATCTTACTCCGGCGTGTTGTATGTAGTTTGGCATGATTTTTATGAATTCTTTTCGGCGGTAGCTGATCCCTGCAGCGCCAGACACTAGTTTGGCAAACCGGGTGGCACCGTAGGGGGCAGATGACTCGTCAAGGCCGATAGTGATCCGTCCGATGAGCTGGCCATCGACGGAGACATCGATAAATGCGGTCTTCGTGGTTGGCTTGGTAGGGCTGCAGGTTGTGGCGGTGGTGGTGTCAGCAAGGGAGGAGAATGTGGGGAGGAGGAGAGGGGTGATAATGGCAAGGGATCTGTTGACTGTTAGCTGCGGGCTTGGGAGAGTGTGTAGTTGAGGGGAAGGAGGAGGAAGAGGGAGGAGCTTGGGTGGAGACGGAAGGGAGTGGATGAGATGCTTCATTGTTTGAGTTTGTCTTTGTTAGGGAGTTATTATTAGTCTTGGTTTTTCTCTGGGGTGTTTGGGATAAGGGAGGTGAGAAGGGGCTATCACAGTCCATGTGTTTTGGAGAAGTAAAAAGATTGGTTCCTTTGGGAGAGATATGTGCGTGGTCCACTGACCTTGAGTGGTTGGCAAATGCGTAAGATCTTATATGTGCGTGCTCCAGTTGAATGGAACTGTCAGTTTTGCTATGAGCAAGTGTTCTTTTTCTGCATAAATTTGAAGTGATATGGTCTGTTTCTCCTTCCTCAAACTTGTGTATCTACTTTAAGGCTAATCTCTTTCTTGAATCAGTAGTTTGGACTGCTCAAGGTAATAACTGTTGAGGCGACAACAACAATAGCAATTTCTTTGTGTCAAAAATTTGGGTCCGCTACAGGAATGCTTCTCTTCGATTCAGTTCTGTAAGGATTATCTCCGCAAAGTTAATCATTATCGTATCCAGCTTCTAACCAAGTTCTCCTGGGCCAATAATCGCGCTGTGGCCAACTATCGGTTTGCATTCACTCGTCATGTATTCGACATTTGGAGGAGGTAGAAAATCCGAGAGTGTTCCGGAGGTATGACTGTATTTATACTTGGATATTAGCATATTCTCACTCCTATTTTGCATCTACTCCTAACTTTAGTTGAATCTACTTGCCAGTTTTGTCTATTGAGTACATGTTTCTTTTGGTAGAGATTTGTGCATGGTCCCCTGAGTTTGAGGGGTAGGTAGAAAGACCGTACTTGTACTTGGGTATGAGCGTATTCTCCCCCTTATCTTGTGTTTGCTCCTGGCTATAGCTTTGGATGAAATTGAAACAAGTGATATATATAGCTCCTTTTCCTTCATCAAACTTGTGTATGTAATTTGAGCTCGATCTCTTTCTTGAATCAATAAGTTTGACTATGAGGTTAGTAATTGCACTGTGAATAACTAGACGCTCAATTTTTAAGGGTAATTACACCGAACCCCCAAGAACTTTAAGCATGTTGAAGTCAACCCCCAATAACTCTCAAAAGAATCGCACTAAACGCCCTATAACTTTTGCAGAAAGCCCCCATTATGTAAATTATACTAAACCCCCTACAACTTTCAGAGTGCCTTATTAATTATGTTGGTTTTTGGTTCTAATTTATGGGGGTTTGCCTCAAAATGCATAAACTTATTGGGGGTTTTCTGCAATTCTAAGAAGTTATTGAGGGTTTAGTGCGATTTTGAAAGTTATTGGGGGTTTACTTCAAAACGCTGAAAGTTCCAAGGGGTTTGGTGTAATTTACCCTTTAATTTTCTCAGTTTGCACTCACTAATCATGCATTTAACTTTGCAGAAAGAGCTGATTAATGTTCCCTGGAAGTGAAGTATCAGAATGAGATGGATGATGTACTAGAAAGTTATTTTCTGTTGTGAAAACAATTTTATTTTTTTGGGGTGTCTGTGAAGAAAAAGAAGAAGAAGAAGTAGAAAAGGTTGAAGGCTCGTCAATTGTCAGTCTCTGCTTAATATAATGTTTGGTTGATTGCACACAGATATGTTGCAAGATTAAACATACGGGTGTAAATTATATTTGATAAAGAATAAGCAAAATCTCTAGTATACAAAGTCATTGAAAAGGTGGAATTTTAAATTGAGTTTTAGCTAATAAATAGTTGATTTATTGTTACACATCTGTCACAAAAATCGTGTGTTATAGTGATTTTGAAAGAACTAGTATAAAGCACGTGCTTTGCACGTGAACGTACATGTTTTTTTAAAGTTTTGATTTTTTTTATTGAATAGTAAAACTATGTGTTAATAAACAAAATTGTATAATAAGATTTCTCCCTTTGTGAAAATTTTGAAAATTAAAACAGCAAATAAAATAGTAGAAAAAACACTCCGTTTGGATACCATGGTGTTTTACTTCTTTCCATGGTGTTTTTGTCAAAAACAAAACACCATGCGTTTGGAAACCATTATGTTTTTTGAGCTAAATCATCCTCAAACCAAAAACACAACACTTATTTCAAAACACCTTTTAGGTGTTTTAAGTTTGGTGTTTTGGTTTTGAGTTTATGAATGTGTTAATATAATATCTAATATAATATATTAAATATAATTAATATAGAGTTATTATACACATGCTTATTATATTATATTATACTATAATATATTATAGTTAACTTAATATATTAGTAACATATATTAAATAATATAAAAATATAATAAATAAAATATCTTATATAATCATATAATAACATATTAAATACCAATATTTAATATGTTAATATAATAACTAAATAATAATAAAATATAAATAAAATAATAAAAAATAATAACAAATTTATTGATAATAAATAATAATATAATAATGATATAATAATATACTATACAATAGTATAATCTCTATAATATGATTAACTTTTTAATAAATAAATTATAATAAATTAATAATTATAAAATATTATATAATAGTAACATATTTAATAATAATAATATTATATTAATAATAGTATAATATTATATTAATAATAAAATAACATTATTATAAAAATATTAATATAATATACAACAATAACAAATTGATATGCCAAAATAATTTAATATATAATTATTTGAAAATAATATGTAATAATTATAATATAATATAACTCATTAAAGTACAATATTATATGATAATACATTATACAATATTATATTGCATTACATTTAATACTTATAATACTATAATAATGTAAACTAAATATTATAATATTTTATTTACAATATATTTTATTATAATTAATATATAATATATTAATAATATGTTTAATACTAATGTTATAATGGGTCAAACTAGTGTTGACCAAAAATACTTAACATGGTGTTTTGAAAACATTTTAAGGAAAAAACACAACACCATGATGTTTTTTAACAAAAACACATCAAGGAAAACACCATGGTATCCAAACGAAGCCAAAGTATTGAAGTGCAAATTTATAAGCTGATCATAAATCTAGCGCCTCCCATGATCTAGTCTCATTAATATATCTCATGTCATGTCTCATAAACTATTTTATTTTTCCATATAATTTGTGCTATACGTCAACCCAAAATGTAACACACAAATAGGATTTACAACATCGCAAAAAGATTAAAAGAAAAATAAAAGGAAAAAACCCAATAAATGTATTCAATTTTCTTTTCAAAAAAGCAAAAGAAATTAGGGTTTTCAAATATTAATCCCCAAAATGTTTCATATTTTGAAATTAGTGCCTCAAATCTTCATATCTTATAATTAGTTTCTAAAATATGTTAAGTAATTTGAAATTGGTCCCCCTTAATCTTCCAATTTAGTGCCAGCTAAGGGATTAACTTCATAACACTTGAAAAGATTTGGGACTAACTTCGATATACGAAGATTATCGAGAACCTATTCCAAAGATGAAGATTTGGGGGACCAATTTCGAAATATAAAACATGTGGGCGACTAATACGAAAATGCCAAATATATTATCCCCACTAATCCACACCATTAGGCCCTCTCTCACCTAAAATTACCAAACCCACCTCAAAAGCGAACCAGCAAAATCTATTTAAACATCGAACCCTTTCTCCCCTCTCTCTCTCTCTCTCTCCCTCTCTCTAAAATCCCCTCACAAAATCCCCAAATCCCTCCCTCCCTCGCTCTTTCTCTCTCTAGAAGTTCTTACCTCGGCCATGGCGGCGGAGACGTCGAGATCGGCGGCCCCCTCTGCTGATTCCTACATCGGCAGCCTCATAAGCTTGACCTCAAAGTGCGAGATCAGGTACGAGGGGATCCTATACAACATCAACACTGAAGAGTCCAGCATAGGACTTCGCAACGGTAATCCCCCTCCCGAAACCCCAGTCATTTGATTCTCGGGAGGATTTTAGAGGGTTTGCGGGAGATTAGGGTTATTGATGTGCATTTTTGCGTACAGCTTGGTCTTTAAATACAAAATACGAAAGATTAGGGTTATTGTCGTTTATTTTAGATGCCGTTTGATTTGTTTTATTTTTTGGGTAAGAAAGTTAAACTTTTTGAGTTTGTACTGCAGAGAGGTTGCTTATTGCACTGCATTAGGGTGTAGTTTCTTTGTTCATGGATTTGGTTGCCTTGGAAGTTGAAATAGAAGCTTTGTTTAGATGTTTCAACGCGCTGCTTATGAGCTTGTTGCGGTGTTTTTATTTTTGCTTTTGTAGCTTGTAGCAAGGTTTAATTTTTCTTGTAGAAAACAAAGAAGGCAACTGAATTGGCTGATTTTCCAATGGACAAAATCCTTCTCTGCATGTGCGGGATGTCTTATTTCTTTTGTTTTCTTTTGTTAGGTGGCAGTCTGATGGTTTTTTGGTTATTTTGTGAACTCTAGGTAGCCTTTTCTCCATTTGGCTTCATTTTTATTTTATTTGTTTGGAATCTGATATTTGTGGCCGTAATCTTAATATTTCTGTTGTTAACTGTGAAACATATAATAGAATTAGCAAAACTTGATATGGTGGACTCTTTAGTGCATGCACGGCCTGAAGTACCTAATATTGCACTTGGATACGTGAAATCATTTGATGCATATTCCATGTTTTCATTTTGGATTTTAGAAGTAACTTGCAACTGACGCTTTGGCCCAACTCATGTTTTATTGTCCTGTAGTGCGATCTTTCGGAACCGAAGGACGAAAGAAGGACGGTGCGCAGATCCCTGCCAGTGATAAAATCTATGAGTATATTTTGTTTCGGGGAAGTGATATCAAGGTATGTGAAGAATTATGTACTCTTCTGTTGAAGTAGTTTCATGGGAATGATGTATTCATGTATGAAAACAGTTTGAGCATAAGAAAAGGCAACAAATCAGGCCTTAACAATTCAATTGATTTGTTTAGCTCTGTGTATGATCTTAATAACTGCCGAAATAGTGCTTTATGGTTTATATATATTGTTGTACATAGTGAATTATGCATTTACATCCGTGCATATTGTGGAAGAAACTCTCCCCCCCCCCCCCCCCCCCCCCCCCCCCCCCCCCCCCCCCCCCCCCCCCCCCCCCCCCTCCCCCCCCCCCCCCCCCCCTCCCCCCCCTTTTCTTTTTTCACCAAGTCTTCACCACTTCCTTGTTCTTAAGTGGAATTTTCGGTTGTCCTGCAAGTATCTCAGTTACATGCTACTTTTTTTTTTAAATCTATTAATTATATTGTGCTAGCATAAGTAATGTTCAGAAGATTAATTCTGAGGTTTTGTAAGTTTCCTTTTAAATGTAGTCAGGTAAATTGTGATAAGATTGATATTTATTATTATCAAAGCACTGAAGTTTTGGCTTTCAGCTTCCTATTAGACATGCATGTTATTTGCCGCATGGTTTCTATTTATTATCATCAAAATAATTTCCTGAAAGATTTATGAGTCATCAGGACAACGGAGGCTGTAGATCTACTTTGTTATTAACCATGAGATTTTCTGTTTATCGACTTCATGTTGGTTACTGCTTAAGAACAGTACATGTTTCCTTAGCATCTGAAACTATACTGCACCGCAAGAGTTTTTGTGCCATTTTATGTGTCCTGTAAGCGTGCTCCTAACATATGACCACAGAAATTGTTGTAGATCTACTTCATTATTAACCATGAGCATATCATGAGATTTTCTGTTTGTCGACTTGACATTGGTTACTTCTTAAAAAATACATGTTTCTTAGCGTATGAAGCCATACTGCACTGCAAAAGTCTTTGTGTCCCGTAAGCATGTTCCAAATATATGACCATGGAAAATTTGTTGCCATGAATTAATGCATGAATATATATGTTATTTTATATTTTACTGCTGTGTTAATGTGAATATATTCGTATGGAAGGTTCTATTATTCTCTTAGACCCTTTAACTAAAGCTTTCTACAATTGAAGATGTAGAAACTAATGTCAATGGTATTGATTAGTAGTATGAATGCATGACATCACGACATCTTTCTACAATATAAATGACAAAATATTCCACCTATCAAATAGGTTGTTGTCTTCATTTTGCTGGATTAACATACTATGGGAAATTTTTCTTGTGGTTTAATTTCAGTGTATAGTTTCTTCTCCGTATTTCTTTTTTCGTTTTGGAACATATCAGTTTTAGATTTTTTTTAGTCACTGCTTTAATTAATAGATTATCATTTTTTTCCTTTTTGATCATTTTTTTTACTTTTATTTAAATCATTTTGTGTAGTGCAATAAGAACTATTTTCACTATTGATTTTGATCTTCTTGTTTTGATGTATTGCTTATGCACCGTTTGCAGGATCTACAGGTTAAGTCATCACCTCCGCCTGTTCAAACTGCTTCCATTCACAATGATCCTGCTATTATTCAGGTAGGGGGACAACCTTGTGAATTTTGAGTTCAACTCCATTATTGCTTGTTAACTCTCCAATTCTTTGCAGTCACACTATTCTCATCCTGCATCTACTTTGGCTACCTTGCCTTCTGCTGGAAATGGAGTTGTTGCTGCTCCTAGTTCCAATACAACTCAGCTGGGACTTTCAAGGTCCGCTTTCCAAGGTGGTCTACCCCTTCATCGGCCTGGGGGAAGCATAGGGTCCTGGGGTCCTACACCAACTCCACCACCTGCAAATGGCTCTGGACTTGCAGTGCCAATGTATTGGCAAGGATATTATGCGCCATCAGGTGGCCTTCCTCATCTTCAGCAGTCCTCTTTGCTCCAGCCACCGCCTGGATTGCCTATTCAACAATCGATCCAGCAGCCTTTGCTGTATCCTGGAATAAATGCATCACAGCAGTCTGGATCTTTGAATCCGTCAGAGGTCCCTCAGCCTTTATTTCCACCTGTTAGTATTACTCAGAGTTTGACCTCCTCTATGCCTTTGACCTCAACAGTTGCACTTAATCAAGCTAGCTTTTTAGCTCCTGAAACAACATCTACCCTGATGCCAAAGATACCTCCGGCAACAACTCTTGGTTCTAATCTACCTTTGGTGCCTCCATTAACTTCTAGTAGTGATTCCCTTATAGCAAGCTCTCAAAATATGCCTTTTACTATTAGTAGCAAGCCAATGATGATTCCTGCTTCAGCCTTGGGTTATCAAACAAAGTCTCAGCCTATGCCCTCATTAGTTGGTGCATCCAGTTCAAACACAGTTGAACCAGCAGTACCTTTAGTGACCCCTGATCAATTGTTGGAGCCTGGCACCTCAACAACTCCTTCATCTCCGCCATTGCAAACAAACAATAAACTTGTAGACGTTAAAGCACAGGAAACAATGAAAAAACCTTCTGTACCAGCATCATCTGTGCATGCTCAAGCAAAAGTCAGGGAGCCAATACCTGCTGTATCAGAATCATCTAGTCATGTGCCAGCAAAGGTCAAGGAACCAATACTTCCCTTACCTAAGCCTATGCATCATAAGGTATGTTAATATAGTTACTTGATATACTGTTTGATTAAGACATATAAAAAGACCTTTACTTAGTATCAAGTTCATTACATCTCTCTGTTGTCTGTCATTTTGAATTTCCTAGGAGCCAACTTACATATTCTTGTGGGATTGGTGAACATAAATTTTCTCATACTGTACGTAGGATGTATGAATTTTTATTATATACTGTCTTATATTGTCTTTTCCAACTCTTGATGGTTTCAGTATCTTGATGAATATTGATATATTTATCGAGCATTTCATAGTTTTTTTTCTTGCCATGCTTCTGCACTGAAACGGTGATAGCACAGGAAAATTCTTTCTACGTGAAGGGTGATATCAGAGCTTAAATGATAAGTTAAAAAAAAAGATAACTAGCACTTGTTTCACCAATTGAAAGCAAACTTTGTGCCAAAACAGGACCTAACCATGTATGCTAGCAGTATTCTGTGTGCTGGCATTCATATCTTAAACTATGTAGTACATTCGAAAATGTGAATGAGAATTCTCACTGGATCTGCTAGAAAATAGAGAATGAATTTTTATCATTTTCATGGTCTTAAAGTCATACATCACAGGAAGAAGACGTTAATGACAAGTGAAAATTAGCCATTACACTACTGTAGATCATCTAATTGATTTCATTTTCAATACAAAGAGCACCTATTTTAAACGATTATTTAGCCTGCAATCAAGCTGGCTAACTTTAAAACCAATATTCGAAACAATGAACTGCCCAAATTTCTCACTCACTGATATGAAAATCAACATTAACGTCTGACGGAAAAATCTTGCCTCAAGAAAATTATCTTTATTCAAAATTTCAAGTAGTTTCTTTGTTTATACAATGTGTCACTAAATATCAAATCACATTTGACGGGAAAAACTGAGGTTGCGTTTATTATATTTCTGAGTTTGTTCTAATTGCATGATTATATTCTGCAAGGGGAACTGAGGTTGCGTTTATTATATTTCTGAGTTTGTTCTAATTGCATGATTATATTCTGCAAGGGGTTTCCTCAGTTTAATGTTTTGGTTTAGGTGAAGTTAGGATGAGGGTTTTAATATTTGCTTGTTCATGCTCAGCCAAACGGAGCTTTTATGCACACACATCACTACAATGGGCGGCGTGGAAGAGGAAGTGGAAGAGGAAGAGGAAGAGAAAATGGGGTAATGTTCTTCCTAGCCTTATTCTTTTGTATAAAAACTTAGAAATGTTGATGCACAGATAATCCATTACATAGCTTGTATTTATTATATTATTTTTTTTGGAACCGTAGGATAATAACTGAAGAATGACAGACTGTAGAAGTAATTTTTTTAAAAAAAATTTACATGCACCATTATAGGTGAAGGAAACACATTATGAGCCTTCAGTTCCCAATTTATTGTGGTTGGATTTGGAATTATTTTAAACATCAGTTCTGCTAAGCAGGACTCCAGTCAAAACCTTCTTATCTTTCTTTACTACCTGTATGCATTCTTGTCCATTCACTTTAGCTTGCTATAGTAACATATTGTATGATGCTATCACCTATAACAACAATCCACAATGCAAAATGAGCCATGATCCATGCAGAGTGGTGATGTATTAGTATCTTAGCAGCATTATAAGATTCAATATCATGTATTATTTTGCCAACTATAACCACAAGTACAATTCCCTTCATCAGTCACTAGAAATAATTCAATAAACTTTAATACAATTGGTTTTTGGTTTGTGTTTGCAGTATTCACGTCCTATAACCAAATTTACTGAAGAGTTCGACTTCATGGCAATGAATGAGAAATTCAACAAGGATGAGGTCTGGGGCCATCTAGGTAAAAGCAAATCTATGTTGCATGACAGGGAGGGAGGTGAAAATGGTGATGAATCAGATGATAATTTGGAAGATGATGATGTTGAAACTCATCAATCTGAGATGAAGGTATGTATTGGGAATATTTAACTTTTAGAGTATAACACTATGGCCCTCACCCTTCGCTACAACTTTGAATTTTTGGTACAATTAAAGGGACATTAAGATGGTACCATAGCAACCCAGGTTCAAAAAACCCATCAACCACAGATTTAAAAGCAGAATTAAAAAAAAAGGAAGGCTGCTTGAATCCATTCAGGTTCCAACCATGAAAAGGACGCTAAACCTGCTGGGTCACGTTAGTGTATAAAACTATAACCCTCTACCGTCACCATAACTCCAAAATTTTGATTTTTTTTTTGTGTTTGTTGGTTTTTTTTTTTTTTTTTTTTTGGGGGGGGGGGGGGGTGTTTTTTAAAAGTAATTAGCTTGTTTGATTTGTACAGCGGTTCTTGAGTACCTTGTCATCTCTGATTCTCTGTCCTTGACTACATTATTTTCTACTCTATAGGGAAATTGTGGAGGTTGTTTCTGGGTTGAAAGGCACACTAGTCTTCTAAGCATATGACAAATCCTTGATGCCAAATGGCTCTTCGGACAATAATTTGGTAGACATCGTAGTTAAATGGTTTAGAAGCCCAATCCTTCCATGTTGCCTTCCCACTTTGGAGGTTTGAAGCCTGCATTTTTATAGGGTAAGGCATTGAGGATGGTCACAAATGCACCGCTTAGGAGAAGCGATAAGATTATAGTTAATGAGGTTAGAAGGATTAGAAGGCCTAATAAAATTTGGTTAGTCCTTTACTGAATTGAATGGAAGAATATGATTCAGCTAACCAACCCAAAAAAAAAAGGATAAAAAATTTGTTTTTGTCGTTATTGAGGATGGTTGTGGCGCTTATACTAATGTTGGCATGTATCTTGCCTTTTCTTTCCCAAACATTGATAGTTTTCATTTTCTCTTTCTTCTCAGAAGCCTGTCTATGTGAAGGATGACTTCTTTGACACACTCTCCAGCAGCACTCTTGATCGGAACTCACAAGGTGGGAGAAGGAAATTTTCCGAGCAGTTGAAACTAGACACAGAGGTATAAAAAAACCTTCAGCCATCTCATTAGCTAATCTGAGGTTCTGCTACTACTGCTGCTGCTGTTACTACTAATCCGTTTTATCTCCTTTTCTACAGACATTTGGTGATTTCCCAAGGCACCGCTCAAATCGAGGGGGAGGACATGGATTTCGCGGGGCCCACACCCTTCGAGGTGGTGGGGGCCGTACACGAGGCGCCTACCATGGCAGAGAGTATGGCTATGTACCGAGGGGAAGAGGACAGGCCGTCTCAAATCGAGCTTCTTAAGGGGGGCTTGCTTGTAATGTAACATATGCTTGCTGGGTTTATTGTTAGGTAAATAAACCAGAATATGAAAAGACCAGGGAAAGTGTCTTTTAGCTTTATGGGGCTAAGAATTATGTTTGTAGGAGTAACATGTTGACATCTTGTAGCACACTTCAGTTTCTTTTGTTTAGGGATTCTTTTATTTGGAAATAAATGTTGTGTTTGTTTGTAAAATCCCAGTGCATTGGGGAAAAGGATCTGGCTGAATTTTTTGTAAAGCTTGTTTTCTTGGTTACAAGCGCGCTTGCAGTTGGAAATGGTTTTCCGTAGTTGGATGCTTGTTCACATATGGTTGTAAGTGGAATTGCCTTAGGGGGTGTTTGACAATCTGAAAGTGAATTTAAAATATGTAAGTTACTTTTTTTACAAATGACTTTTACATCCATGTCAGCACGTAAGTGAAATACAGTGTTTGTTTGAAAAATTAAATTATTATCGAAAGTGCAATGTGAAGATGACGTGGCAAAATAAGATTAATTAGAAAATATAATTAAAATCATTTAATTAAATTACTTACCTTTTTGTCACTTTCATGTGACTTCACCACTTTTTTAGGGGAAGTCAAAGTTGCATTAAATCTTATGTGGTAACTTTCTTACATCTCACTTTCATAACCACTTACATGAAAACAAACACCTTAATTGTTAAATGAAAGTAAATTTCTCACTTTCATCTTTCACTTGCATGCAAACAAACACCCCCTTAATGTTATGTTTGAGAGTTCACAAAAGGAAGGGAAGGGAAGGAAAGGAAAGGTAAGATAGAGGAAGGAAAGATAATGAAGAGGGAACATATAATATCTTGTTTGTGAGTTTTGTGAGGAGAATGAAGTTGGAACTTAAATTGTGTTGTCTGAGTGTTTTAATTATGGGAAGAGAAGGGAAGTAAATAAATTTTAACTATTGATTCATTATGATAGAGTATCAAGAGTCTTTTTCATTATGAAATTTTACTTTCTTTCTCTTCTCTGGCTTCCTTACCCCCAATTTGGAGGGGAACAAAATTAAACAATGCTTTCCCTCCCTTACCCATCTTAAAAAAAAACTCCCAAACAGAGTAACTCTTTTTTTCTCTTCCCCTACCCCATTACCCTCCATCCAGACTTAGTGTAAATGAAGTTTTTATGCATCTCTTTTCTGTGTGGTTGCATTAAATTTATTTTAACAAATATGCTATACACTACAAATAGATTAAAAAAATAAATTAGTGAAAATAGATTAGTAATTCAGTGTAAATTTTTTTTTGAAGTAATATAAATGGTACACAAATCAGTGTAATTATCGAGACGTGTAACTCTATAGGAAGCTATGAAAAAGGAAAATATTAAATAATTAATAGATAGAACGAAAATTGAAAGGTTCTATATTAAATTATAATGGTGACGATATAGAGGAGGGGGAAAAGGAGAAATAGAAAACGTGAATAGAATAATTAATAATATAAAAATGAATTATCAAATGTCTGATAAGTTGCCACATTTTACAATCCTGCAACCGGCGGTCATTATTTTAGTATATGATATAACTAGATATGAAATTTAATATGTTCTGAATATCAAAATGTAAAGTTGATTGGTGATGTCATGAATTAATGATACATGAGTCAATCTTTATATTATCTATTTATTTTGTTTTTGTTTTCTTTTTTTTTGGGAAAAAAGATGGTCTGCGTCGTTAAAACCCTGTCAGGAAAACCCGAAGGGATAAAACCAACGCCAACAAAAAATTATATATTTTATAGTGCATGTATAAAGAAAATTTATACAAGCTACAAAAAATGAAGTGGATTGGTAATGTCATGAATCTGTAACACATGAGTCGATCTGTCGCTATTATTCACTTGAGCACTTTAATATTGCTCGGATTAACCCAACTATTATTCTTCTTCTTTGTCCAGGTTTCTAAAGACAAAGTTTGAAATACAGACAATCTTAAATTGGCTATATAGGTTTATTCCCTTATTGACTGATATTTCTTCTAATCACATGTGAAGCTTCAATTATCTCAATCAAAACTTTGTTGTTTCCATATATAAGATCTAGTTCTAACCTTAGCACACAAAACCTCACTAACACAGAGCTCTCTCAAGTTCATATCACAACATTTGGTTGAGTTTTTCGCCATTACAAAGCCTCTCTGACTCATTTGGTAAAAATTAGTAAAAATTGAAAAGAGTGAGATGCATAAGCCAAAAGCTTACAGTTCTTAAAAGTCACGAGAGTGTCGACTAAAATTTTAGTAAAAACAAAATGAAATTTGGTATAAAAAAAAAATTTGTGTTTCTCATCCACTTTTCTACGTCCATATTAATTCTTGAGCAAAATTGATGCCAACGGTTTTCGTACTTTTGGTTTCAAGTTGTCAAAATAGAACTTCAAGGTGTCAGAGTTAAAGAGGGTGAAACTCTGTGGCATTAAGGTAATAGGCTTCTTTTTTCTCCATTTTGTTTAAAGCTATAACTTGTTGAAGGTTAGAAATCATATGGGAACAATGGCAGTCTTAATTTTGAGGATCCCACATGAAGTTAATTGAATTCTTAATTATGATATGGACCACGAAATTGGCTGTCATTCCTCTCCTAAACATTATAATATTATCATTTTAGGCTCCTAAAACTTCATCCATCACGTTGAGATGTTGACTTGGCTGCCATGTTTAGAGACAATCTATTGCTCCATCTGATATCAAATCCTTAAAGAGTCAGAAGAAGAGTACATTCAGAAAAAGAAGAAGAAGAAAAAAAATAATCTCACAGCTGTCATTTTTATTCATGTAGTAATCATTAGATTACATATTAATTTAACCATAACAGACAATTATAGTTGTTACAGTCCTTATTAAAAATGTGTTTAGCAGAATGTTAACTGGCAGATTATCTGTTAATTGCTTCCACCAGATGCGTAATCGAGTTGGTTTATTTAATTACAATGGCTTGTGATTCTTATGTAATCTGAGATTAAGATTTGGGCTACGGGAATTACATGTGCTTGCTTTCAGGTTGGACTTGGTTTTGTTTGGCTCATGCAACATTTTGACTTTTTTTGTAAAATTATCAGAGGTATTAATTAATGGGTTGAACAAAAGGCATCTTCCTTGTTTAAATAGGGTAATAGACATACACAAAAGATAATTTGTTTAATTTGTTTTTTTTTTTTACTTCAATACAGTGTTTTTTGTTCTTATTTGTAGGAATTACAAGCCTAATAATTAACAACCAATGCTATCAAGTATATAAGAGTCGATCAAATGTTCACCCAAGTGTCGTGCGCGGAAGCCACCAATTGTTGTGCTTCGAGAAACCAAACACAAACTCCGAGAGAGAAAGCCAAACAATGCAAAATAACGGCACAAACACAAACAACCAATTTTTACGTGGTTTAGCAAGTTGCCTACGTCCACGGGGCAAAAAGGGGATGAGTTTTCACTAATAGAGAAGAAGAGTACAAACTGATATTACAAATCACTCAAACTCACCAATTAATCTCACCAACAAAGCTCTCAATCTCTCAAACAAAACCCTAACCAATAGCTCAGAAAGATCTCTCTTTTCTGTGCTCCAAATATCCCCACAACAACTCCCCAGAAACCCTAAAACATGTTGGTATTTATACCAAACACCAAACCAATTCAGAATAGGAAACTACAAATTTGGGTCTAACCTGATACGCGGTTGACCACGAATAATGACAGAGCCTAAAAAACAACTGTAAGCTTCGGCGGTCGACCGCGACAGTCAACCGCACCCAACTTCAGACTCTCGGGTTTGGATTACAGGGTCTGGCGGTCGACCGCACCAAAACCTGAATCAAGCCCAAGGTCCGTGCACGAATACGGTCGACCGGCCTTGCACCGAGGTCGACCGCACACCGCCAAAAACCAATTCCTGCTTCCAAAACCTGTTCTAAAACAATTCCTTCGCCAAATCTACAATTCTCCACCTCGACAAAGTTTTTTCAAAACTGAGCCGACACCAATACCAACCAAACGTCTCACTTGTTGCGTTCAGTACGAAGTGGACCAAATCCATGACAACGGACTCAATCCACAACAAGTCGAGACCCAAATGAGAATGTGAGCACCCTCCAAACGTCGGTATCAACTCACCAAACCGAGTGTATCATAAATGACTACCTACGTATCCTCTTGCCCAAGGAATCAAGCATTCACGTAGTTCATCCAATGGCCTCTAAAAGCCCTCAATCCAATAGAAGAATTCTCAACCCTTCTCCAACATCACCAACGAATATGTGGCTGATAGCACTCCCAATGGCCCCAAAGTGAGACGAACCAAACGCCTCCACCTAAGATGAACGGCCAACAGTCATATCCAAATCCAAATTATGTCCACTAGTTGCACTCGAATCAACCAACTCATCACATGCATCCAAATCAACATGATCCCCAAATTGTGTCATCTCAGCTGGAATGCCAAACGATGCAGTATGATCTAGAGTATGTGGAGTAATCTCCACCCAATGTGGAGTAGCATCTGTTAGGAATCTTAACCCCAAGATTACTTTATTTTGATGTTAACAAATATAATATATTATGTGTATTATGTGCTAACATTTGTTTTGTATTATCAGAGCTATATCAACAATTATATTCAAAAAGATACTCAAGACATAGATGAGTTCAAGGTAAAATGAAGCAAAGAAGAAGATATACTTTATTGTCAAAATGTAATTTTACATTTTTTTTGCTTAGAAATTTGTACAAGCCTTGATCACTCATATACTTTATTGTCAAAATGTAATTTTACATTTTTTTTGCTTAGAAATTTGTACAAGCCTTGATCACTCGCACATATGCACATACATAGTATTAGAATACACTAATACATGCTTAGTGTGTTGGTTAACAATAGAAATCCCCTATATTAGCCATTAGAATTTATAGATATTGAGTAAGTCTTAAAACATTTTATTTATACCCCTTAGCTGTTCGAATATGGAAAAACTCAAAAGACCAAAGTTGTAGGTCTCTTCAATATCTTTCCAACAAATCTTAAATCACCTCATTTCGATGTCGGATGAGAAAGTTACAGCCAAAATACTAAAAATAAAATTCCAGAATCTGCGAGTTTACAGTGTAGTCGACTACTATGCCTTATAGTCGACTACTAAGCAATTTTTTAACTTCACAGAGTCTGTTTAGACTCAGTGTAGTCGACTA